GGAAGCTAAGGCTGGGGCCTGTTGGATTTGCGGGCATGTCAACCCAAAGCTGGACCTCTCTGGCTCTTGAGCGTCAGATCCTGTGGGAGTGGTTATCCGACGGCTGTGATCTGCGCATCCCGGGTTAGGGTTTCAAACGCACCTCATACCGTCGGATGCTGTGTTGCTGACATTTGAACGGCCGATAGCAGACAAGAAGAGATAGCAACCTAAGGCTGACGTCACTGTTGAGGGTTCCAACAGCCCCTAGCCTTAGCTTCCGTCCGGTACCGATTCTCCTTGTCTCCGCTCTGCTAGTAGTTAGAGGAGAAAGCCTTGTCAAAGTGACGTACACGATAGGCGGCTAGGATGATGCAAGTAGGTTGGCACATCACAACCGTTTTCGATTGTTATCAATTTCCTGGAAGCCGGAAGAGACATGCTTTGTCACTCGTCAACATCCCTCCCGCTGGTTCTCGTGCAGCACGTGCGAGTGCGACCGGACGCACGGCGGCGTGGACTGCTCGGTGGAGGTGCTGTTCCCCGACCAGGAGTCGCGGCACGTGCTGGCCCTCACGTTGTCCAACGCGGCCGCCATCCCTGCGGCAGGCTGGGCCTTCACGCACCAGGTCAGGACAGCCGCATAACTACTACGTGCAGAGAGACGGAAATATAGTCAGCTGTTGGAGAGGAAGAGAAGTTTCACAGCCAAGCAAGGACTCGGGCAAGCTGACGAACGAAAACCTCTTCGTTACTTGACACGTGTGTTCCTACAGACGTCAGTCCGAGTCTAGACTCCTGTGTTGCAAACGTCCATCTGCCCGTATCGCGTGTCGTGCAGGCGTACCCCGAGTGGATCGTGTTCACGTGCGGCGGCCTGGCCAGTGCGGTGTACCACATGTGCGATGCCGGCAGCACCTGCCTCGCGCAGTACGGCACTCTCCAGGTAACCGCGGCCCCGCCCACCTCTTTTGCGCCTGCCGTCGAGTGTGCTCTGTACAACTCTCATAGGAGGTGCACGCTTCCTGAGGGATCCGCTTGGGCATCTAATGTTTGTTCGCCATCACGCTTACCATGTCTGCTCCTTACTTTGCCAATCTGCATTTCTTGACCTCAGCCAGGGATCACAGTCTCCGTTCTTGCACCCGCCTCGCTGCCCTGTTCCCACGCCTCACCTCCTCCATTCGCCACCCCCCTGCAGTTCGCCGACTTTTTGCTGTCCTTCCTGGCGGTGGTCCTGACGTGCCTGCACCTGGCCCCGCTGCCGCCCCGCGCCACCGCGCCCGCGCAGCTGAGCGCCACGCTGCTGCTTGCGCTGGTCGCCAAGGACAACGCCACCAGGTGATGCCTCCCATTTAACCGCCTCAGAACAACGCTCATTCCTTGCAAAGTAGACTCCGACGTCTAATTCGTGTGAACATCGTAATATTCAGCGAGGACCTTCTCAAAGCTGGTCCGGTTGATTCAGATATACGATGCAGTTGAGAAGCCGATTGCGCCAAACGACAAGCCCGTTCTTTGGGAGGGTCAACAGTAACGCTGCTGTGGTTGCGCAGCGGGTGGAGTCTGGTCATTGTTGCCGCTTTGGGTGCGCTAGCGCTCGCGCTGGGTTGGGGGCTTGAGGCGGGGATGCACAGAAAGCGACAGCCGGACGGGCCACACCAGTCTTGGGGCGCCCACATGCGCCACGTGTTGGAAGCCAAGTGGTTGCGGTAAGTACGGCCCCTGATCTCTGAAAACCTAGACCGGCCGCAGAAGCGATCTGCTTTCTCCTTTCAGCGGAGACTCTGGCATCTGGCGTTTGAACCTTGAGTGCTTGGTGTGAGAATTACGTGTGTGGAGCCCAGCTTAAAGCCAACACCTCATTCATGCAACGTCCACCTTTCACGGGGAATCAAGCGTGCTAGAATGTTAGGAACTCCTCTTTTCTCCCCGTGTCAAAGCTGTTTCCATCGGTGCAGCTGCGTGGCGCTCCCAACCACAGCGCCCGCTTTGGTGCGGTGGTTTGGGCGGCGCTACCGGTGGCCGTACCTGGTGGGCGGGCTAGCCATGCTGGGCCTCGCGGCCGCGGCGTGGGCCTTCGAGTCTGGGCCAACCTACTGGTTCTGGCACAGGTGATGTCGCTCAATACGCACGGGTATCTCACCTTTGCCCTTACCGCCTTCTCTTCTTGGCTGAGGGATTGCACATGCTAACTCATCGCCTGAACCCAGACTGGTTCGAGCGAAATTGATCGGTTCAAGCTGGGAGCACGAAGACTACAATTGAGTTGGTAGGTGTCTAAACATGCGTTCGCGTGGATTGGATACGAACTGCGGTCGCGTTTTGAAAGCTCGTGTTAGATCCTTGAAGGTGCAGTGGTAAACAAGGATAGCGACACTCCCGACGTCAGTTGGTTGGATGTGGCAGCTCAAAAATGACGGCAACCGGCTTTGGGGCTCCGTTCCCAGGTGGCTCATTGCTGACCCGTGCGCCCTTTTTGTATGCAGCCTGTGGCACGTGGCCATCTTCATGTGCCCCTTTTTCCTGCTTAGCGCCACGACGGCCCCGCAGGACGCACGGGGAAGCGCGGCCGCGCAGGGTTATGCGGCGGTGCTGGACGAGGAGACGGACCAGTGTGCAGACGTGGAAGAGCGGGAACTGAGAGTGGTGGTGGAGCCTCCGCGTTCCTCATTACCGGCAGGGGAAGGGCTCAGCTCCTGAATGTAACTTACAGTCAAAAGTTCGTGCGAGGCGGCCAGGTATGAAAAGCCCATATTGCGAGATCAAAAAATGCTGATCCTTGAAGGCATCCTTGAAGGAGCGTCACACGAGCAAGAGCGCTGGTGGCGAAATGTTCACTAACTGCTGTACAGTATTGCAAGCTTAAGTTACTGGATCCAAGGATCCCGCCCGCATTAGTAAGCCAACTCCTTCGAGCAACGTGAACGAAAGAGCTATACGTCAAAGTATACACGATTGCAGTTTAGCTCAGGCCTGTGCAGTGCGGCAATCAGCATACAAGAGAGCTGTTCTGAAAGTGGTTCTTTTCTTTTGGTGGACACTGCATGGTGAGCCGGTAGGATTTCCTACGAGCCTCGTATGCTGGCATGCTCCGAACATTTGTCAACGCGTCATATCAGCTGAATGGGCTTGGTCCATTGCTTCCGACCAAACGGCTTTTCGTCTTTCGTCTCGCTGTTTGTATGTGCTCTTGCCTACCCAGTTGTTTTTCGAGCGACTATGGCCGTCTGCCAGACTATAAAGGCGAGTGGCTGGGCTACCCATACTTTCCGGCCCGCACCTCGTGGGGGCTCTGCCTGATCTTTCGCAGAGCGGGTCTTACTAAAGCATTAGATGAATGCATGCATTCAGTTATCGCAGCCTGACGCGCAGCGCGGCATGTCTGCATCTGGCACCAACGAGCGCGTGCGGGCACGCACATGTGATCCGATCAATCATCATTGCGCGGGCCATACTGCAAGTGGCATCCGGCACGTGCTGAAAACATACTTAAGCTAGAAAGTTACGCACCTTCGCATGCGTCATCACGAATGAAAGTATACATGCCAGGAAGTACTTTCATGACCTGTGAGTAAGGCATGGAAGGAGGTACGCGGCGTCGCCGGTCCCAAATCGTGAATTGTGCGTATACTGAACTTAGTATCTCATGGATGTTCAGCATTCATACACGACAACTTGCCAGTTTGGACCGGGCCTGCCCTCACCTCGCAAACAGACACTCATATCACAGCATGCTGATACAAAGCTGATGTTGCGGACCATACAACACCGTCTGTGTTGGGAAGATTGTGCGTGCCAAGCTCAGGCTGAAAAAGCCCTTGTCACGGACATGGCACGCTAAAGTTTCGCAGTGGGCGCGTTTTTGGCGGCCGCCTCTGCGAGCATCTTTTCGAGCTCAAACTCGAGCTCCTCGCCCTCCGGCAGCGGAGATGCGTACCACGCGACTTCGCCGGCCTTCACCTCCGTCAAAGCTTTGGGTTGCCACTGCACGTACAAAGACGACGGTCACCTTCTTTGATCACGTGGTCTCAAAAGATCAATGCGAGAAGCACACGACAAGCCCTCCTGCATCCCGACAAGCACGTCTTGCAGCATTCATACAGCCACGCCCTCTTGCAACCGCCAGCGGCTACTCCTGGCCACAATGGGCCACGCGCGTGCACCCCGGCGTACCTTCGGTTTCATGTCCTTGTCCACCAGCATCGCGCGCACACCCTGCATCAAAGCGCAGCAGCGCTACTGTTAGGACAAGTCACAAAGATGGCACACTCACACGAAGCCACGGGTTCGCGACTAAGGTGATCACCCGGCTCTGGCAGGCAAAGAACGCGCCGGTAACACAAGAGACAAAAACCAAGCGCAGCCAAACAACGGCAGGGGCTGCAAATGTTGGTCTGAAGACAGTAGGGGCCGTCACCTCGTAGAAGTCGGGCTTCTCCAGGCAGCGGTAGGTCAGCCGGAACTCGGTTTTCAGCGCCTTGCTTAATGTCAACGACCTGCCCCGCTCGATCTGCACACGGAACAAGAGGGTCACATCTCTAAAGGGTCCACCTTCGAAGCCCAAAAAATCAACGAGCAGCTCCCGCCTAGCCAAGCTGTCGGCCTTTCGAAGGCTTATGCCACTTTTGAGATGTATTCGTAGCCCTCCTCCGAGCGTCGACGTCACCTTTCAAGTTGGAATTGACCGGCACAGACACAAGTCATGAGTGTGCGAACCGGAGGCTTGGTCCGGGAGCAAATGCGCTTACCGATCGATGCGTGATTTTGAGGCTGGTGGGCGAGGCTTTTTGCATGGAGGCCAGAATGTCCTCGACCCACTTGTTGCCCGGCTCCCGTGCGGCCTTCCTCTGACGGGGGGCAACGGCAAACGGTCAGACAAGTCCGCAAACACAGAGATGTACGCTGTCCAAAAATGAGAATCTTAAGCGCAAAAGATGGTTAAATCGAATAGGACAACGGCTGCAGGGCGGTCCGAGTCTGGCCCAAGAACTTCCAGCCAAAATCCTTTGCTAGAAAAGAGCACCAGGTTGCCCAGCAATTCGAAGACGCTCAAGACGACGAAGCAGCCTCACGCAGACTGTCACCGCAGCCCACTGGAGTAAACGCCACCGGAGGGGAAAGACCAACCGCACTTGCAAGATGAAGCAGATAAAGAGACGACGACATCTCTGCAACGAGAAAGGACACAAGCACAGTGGAGGCGGTGCGCTTGGCCTCACCAGCGCGCCGATGATGTGCTCCACGCTGTAGTTGGCGAAGCACTCGTCGATTACTTTTCGCCTGCATCATCACCGGGGCCACCGTCAGCGTCAAGACATGCGCCCCCAGATACTGGCACGTCCTAGCTTTGCAGCCCAGCTGGCCGGCCGTCACCCCCCCTGAGGTCGCGGCCGAACAAAACCAGACAGGACAGCCCTGCTCAAAGCTGGGCGCCTGCCACGATGCGACCTGGGCGTTTGCGCTAACGTCAACGTCTAGACTGAGGGTGGCGTCACCTTGCGAGGATGCTGACGTTGGGGTCGGCCTGGTCAACCGTGGGCCGCTCCGTGATCTCGTACAGCACGCTCTCGATGCCGTCCCGGCTGAAGTCGCGCAGCGCGCCAAGCCGCTCGATCAGCAACGGCAGCCGCTGCAACACCGCACTCAAAAGCTCAACACACGATAGCAGGAAGCGCCGTCTATTCTTACCATAGACAAGAACAGGCTCGTCCCCGGCCATCCTCTGATACTCCCACCGTCCTCGGGCTTAGATTTCATCGCCGCATCCTCAATCTACCCAACATGCCCGGAATGCTAGCAAGGTGATGAGAATGCGCTTGGTTTCGAGCAGTTCGACTTTGTGGTGCGTACTTCTGAGGGCATCCAGTGCGTGGCCAGGCCGAGCGCCACCATGTTGGCGCCGTCCAGGCGGGCGCCCGTCAACGCCAGGTACATGCCTGCACCAGAGGACGCCAGCCGGGGTCAACGAGGGGCAAGCAACGATAAAGGGGGGCCATAACTGGGTAAAAGAGTGTTACCAACAATCAGCCCAGCGTTTCTAGTCGATGACAAACTTGCTGATGGATGTAGATCGCAAAACGAGTAGTTTCTCAAGAGAACACAATGCGTACAGCAGCTATGGCTCGGAAACTACCAGGAATGACGTATGTAACGCTCTTGCAAACGTGCGAACGCCAGTCGGGCGCACAAAGGCCAAAGCCTCCGGTTCTCGGACTCCTGGATAGACAAAGATTTGTCGCCTCACCAATGGAGCTATCTCGGAGGAGTGGACTTCGGTGGTTGAGGAACCACGAGGCGCCAACGTCGGGGTGCAGACCAATCGCACACTCCGGCATGGCGCAGACCTGCGGGTAGGGTCACGACGAGATTGAGAGGACTGAGCAGAGTCGGACCAAGGCAGCAAGAGCCTAGGACGGGCGGGCTGACTGCACATGTGCATCACCGCGACACCCAAATGGCAGATACAAGCGATGGAACATGCAACCTGGATGGCCTCAGAGCGCGCGGCGGGTGCATTGCCTTACCGTGTTCTCCGTGGCGATCCGGATGGGCCCGTTGATCGACACGCCGCACCCGCCCCCCATGGTCACGCCGTCCATCCAGGCAATCTGAAACACAGGGCAAACAGATCGTTGGTGACCTCAGGCTCAATGATATACAACCTGAAGAAGGAAACGAATTCGTCAGAGAAAGATCGAAACAAGGACTACGTTTGAGGTGTCTTTGACGTGCCGGCTTGGGTAGCTGCAGTCACTACAAGCCACTCACACTGGCAAAACAGATCTTTGGCGACCTCTGGCTTGATGATATGAAACCTGAAGAACGAACGAGTTCGTCAGAGAAGCCCGAAACCAGGACAATATTCAAGGTGTCACTGGCATGCCGGCTAGGGTGGCTGCAATCAGTCCAACCCACTCACCACCGGCTTCTGCATCTCCGCCAGGAAGTTGTTGACGTTGTACTCCCACCGGAAGAACTGCTTGCACTCTTCGTGCCGCCCTGCAATGGCAAGATGACTGTTACCCTCCGGTTGTAATCTGAGAGGGGCAGCAAATCGCATGCGACTACTAGCAGCTTCCGTCCAGCGCTAGAACCGGAACCACGAAGTCCTGTCAATGATATCACCACGAGAGCAACGCACTTGACAAAGGCCTTCAGAATACTCGCTGGAAACCAGGGGAGAATGAGTTTACAAGAGGCAGGGTTAAGTTAAGTAACACCACTCACCAGCCTTTCCCATCTCGTACACTGCGCGCACATCTCCCCCCGCACAGTAGGCCCGCCCAGGGGGACCGGCTCCCTGTGCAGGAGACAAGTGTTTCGAGCGGGGCCCCTCTAAAGCTAAAAGGCCGCGCATCATATTGAAGATGTTGAGGATCTGTCACTTCCTGAAAGCAAGCGCTGTTAAATGCATGCCGCTGGGATCAACAGGTTATAAGAGCTGGTTTTGAATCCAAGAGTGTACTATCCGCCTACATGAGTGGTGTCCTCACCTTCAGGATGATGACACGAGCGTGAGGCCGGGCTTCCCAATTTCGCAAGGTCCTGGCCAACTGTTTCATCTGCATGGTAAGAAGCAAATTTCGAAACAATCCATGGGAAAACTGAGAACCCCCAGCTTGGTCTCACAATGTGCGATTATAAACCTCTGGCTGTCAGCAATATCGATGTGGGCCTAGTGGCTCCGGCTTCTTACCATGGGGGTATTGAGAGCGTTGAGAGCCTTCGGTCGGTTCAGAGTTACTACTCGCACAGGTCCAAACGCCTCTTCCAGTACCTGGCACAGCAAGCGGAGGAAGAAGCTGTCTTTTCTTTTCTAGTCAATCTGGTTGAAAACCACCTAAGCTCCCAGAATTCACCACCTAGCTTGCTTCCTTGAAATTGTTTTCTAATGTTGAGTCTGAATCACCGGAAGATCAGCAGAGAGCCCGCTGCCCAAAATGCAACAATCTGAACAACTTGAGTATCTGCATGCCACCCAAGTTTTCTCAGTTTTGGAGGCGCATAGAAGCACAGAGCCACCTTCAGAATCCTCACCTCAGGCTCTGCCGCGGACGCCATGGGTGCTCTTTGATTTGGCAGGTCTGGTTTCACTTCAACCCCTGCGGGGGCGTGCGCAATTGTGCGACACCCGTCTAACAGACCCCAGTTGCTGCTTGGCCAACCTTCTTTCAAAAGTTCACCTGACGGTAGAATTGACCTACTTGAAAAAGTGAACGTTGTTCTCAGCTGTGACACCAGGGAGCGAGGAGCCACCTGATGCCAATGCATCACTGCAAACGACAACCTACGTCTGCCGGCAGCTAAAAGCCAGCCGTGCAGGAATCAGTGTGGGGTCAGCACACCGTCAAATGCAGCTGCACCACCGCAGATACCACGACTGATGCACAGAACCTTTCACAGCCACTCTTGTGTAACACCGTGCACGACCTCAAACACCACCACCACCAACTTGATCATCAGAGGCTGGGCAAAACTCAAATGCTTAAAGGGGACTCGAATTTGAGAAGCTCCCTGCCTCATCCCTTGACATTGCCTACGCTTTCTATGTATGTACAGCTAGAGAGCGACACCTAGAAATTCAGCATGGCACTTTCAACCAGGCTGAGGTAGCACATGGTGGCATGAAGTGCTGCAGCTTCCGAAGTGCACTCAACTAGAAACTCTACCGGAAAACTCGGACCGATTGGCAGCAGTCCAGTAACAGGATATCTATTGGCTGGCTACAGTAGCAGCGCACACCAACATTGTCGACTCTACTGAAAAGGTAGTCACCTCGTTCCTCAGGCTCTATCTCGTGACTTTTGAAGGGCGTCATGCGCGTTGAGTTTGGCAGAGGCGTCGGCGGCTTAAGCTTAAGCCTAAGGCGCTTGCTTCGGAAAACAAGCAAGAGTGATTGTTACTGTGAACAAAGACGTTGAGTTTGGCTGTTAGATTTGGCGCGCCAGGCCCGTGCTCTTGCAGAAAGGATGGTACGGCGATTGGGCGAGTCTTGAAACGGAATGCTCCTTGAGCCAGGGCTGGTGAGGCATTGCCCTGATGTTCTGAAGACTCTGAATAGTACCAATTGATAGGTCAGGGATTTGAGCAGGAGCTATCCAGTTATCTTCTCTAATATATCATTTGAGGGCAAGTGATCCAGCTGATCCAAGCAGTGTAAAAACAGTGACGAAAGGAGTCAGCACCACCGTTGATCTTTGTGCATCACTGAGAAGGTGGGTGTTTATTAAAGTCGTCCAATGCAGCAAATTATGAGGCTGCCCTTGGACGACCGTGCTCATTGAGATTGAGAAGGGAAGGGAAATCTGTCGGCGGAGGCGTGAGTGGCTATGAGTGCCCCAGGGAGACCTCGCAAAGAGCGCAGGGTCAGCTATGTCATTGGCCAAGCGCACGAGAATCAGGTGATGCTCGCGGCTTTTTGCTAAGCATCGCAAGCGGGGGGAAGGAGCTCTGTGGGTCTAGAAAGTGCTTTTGTTTATGAGGTGGTGAGGATGACTTGTTGAAAAGTTTTGCTTCGGAATTCATCATCTAAAAGTGCTTCCGATGTCAGCTGTGGCAAAATGAGTGCAACAGTAGACCACCGATCAGGAGGACACACTATCCACTCTTTGCCCCTAGGAATTGTCAGCGGCTAGGGGTTGATTGCAAAATGCATGGGAGAGCATGATGCCGTTCTCAACACAGATTGTCACCGTGCCCTCCTAGAGTCGCTTATGCCTGGGGTTTGTTTGCCTAAAGTGACTCGCAGTTGATGTGAGAAATATGTGTAAGACCTTTCGATCTGCGCCAAGGTATCTGTTCATTAATCCTTGGTTCGAAGCTCGGCAGATGCAAGACGAGGTAAACTCTGTGGCGTCAGTGCAAGGTACGTGGACATGAAAATCATCCCAACGGAGGGAAGTCCTCTCTTTCAGACCCTCATCCTGTTAAGTATTTGCCTTCCTTCTCCTCCCCTGAATTGTCGCTCATTCTCTTGCAGCACTGCTCGGGTGTCACCGCGTTGCTCGATAAAGTTCCCGCGGCTGGGGGCGGACACACCCTGTTCAGCGCCGGAAGAGATGGGACAGTTCGCCGGTGGCAGGACGCAGATGGTGCCAATCCGACTTGGAGCGCAACGTTCGAAGCGCACACCGACTGGGTAAGCCCCTTGCAACTGACCTTTTCATCCCAGCTTGGAGAGAACATTCAGCATATAACCTTGATGAGGGGCCGCCGACTCGCTCTTGTTCTTCTGGGTGCTTTCTAGCAAACGCGTGCGCTTGAAGGGCGTGAGTCGACCGCGTGTGGCCTGCCTGCAGGTGAATGACATTGCGCTGGTGGGCGAGGACCGTCTGGTGTCGGCGTCCTCTGACACCACCATCAAGGTGAGCGGCCCGCGCCAGGCAGCACTCGTATGCATCTATCGTAGCTAGTGCACGAGTGGGCACTCTCAAGCATGATTCCCCGAGTGATGGCCTTTGCTCACTGCCCCTTTGGCCTGCAGGTTTGGAACGCATCCTCCTCGGGGGAATGCTTGCAGACCTTTCGCGAGCATTCCGACTACGTGACATCCTTGGCTGCGGCGAAGCAGGTGAGGGCTCAGCCCCACTCTCAAGGAATGCCCAAAAGAGTCACGCCCACGCCCAGTGCAGCGCCCATCGCTATCAATTCAGTCAACCAACTATCGCCTCCTCTTTAACCACGCCATCTGCAGGGAGCCTTGGTCTCTGCGGATCAGATTTTCCCCACGCTTGTTGTGAGATCCTTTCAATTTTCTTGCCTACCAGGTTCCTGTAGTTGCCTCGGCTGGGCTTGGGTGTGAGGTATTTGTTTGGGACCTCGAAGCGGCCCTTCGCCCGGTTGTGCGGGCTGCCCCGGACCCTGCCCCTTCGCCCCTCCCTGCGGTCCCTGCCCCTGGGCTGGCGTCCTCCACTCGCACCGCCCCCCCTTTGGCGCGCACCAGCAGTGCCCCTACCCCAGGCCCTCTCGCTGGCTCCCTGCATGGTTCCGGTGAGCCAGGCGCACGCAGGGCGACCCTGGCCTCCAAGATCCTGCATGTTCTGCATGGGGGGTCTACTCCCCTTCTATGACACGCTAGACTGCTTCTGACTTCAGCTTTCGTCAAAATGAAAAGGGGGTGGACAGTCTGCAATTTGTGCTTCGAGGTAGTGTTTCTTAGCTTTTCTGAGTGTTCTCTTCTAAGCCTGGTCTGGTGCATACTCAGGTGCTGTCCCGGCTCTGGAGGGGCCGCGCCTGAGCAGCAGTGGGAGCGCGGCAGGGGCCAGCGGCAGCGGCGAGGGGTACCGGCCCGTGGCGTGCAAGGGGCACAAGCAGTCGGTGTATGCGCTGGCCATCAACGAGGCAGGCACCCTGCTGGTCTCGGGCTCCACCGAAAACGTGAGCGTGGAACCCGCTTCTCTGCGAAACCCACTTTCTCGTCTCCAACCTGCTTCTCGTACGGATGTGTCTCGATAAAAGTGGTGGAAAGGGCGAGCGAGAGGTGCTGTCCTGCGGGCAAAGAGTTGCGCATAGCACCCATTGTCTGGGCAGCCTGAAGACGACCCGTTTTCAGGGGGGGCTGATAATGGGACATGTGCGCAGGCGATCCGTGTGTGGGACCCCCGCAGTGGCCAGAAGCAGTTCAAGCTGCGGGGCCACACCGACAACGTGCGTGCGCTCGTGCTGGATCCTTCCGGCAAGTTCTGCCTCTCAGGCTCCTCAGACGCCATCATCAGGTGAGGCGGCCGCAGCGCAGGATCGAAAAAGCGTGGACATCTCATTGGACTCTGCTTTTGGCTATCACCTGGGTAGTTCTATGATTGAACGACGATACCTTCACTGCCAGATTGAAGGCTGCAGAGCGTTGGGAATGTTAGCTTGCGCAAGAATATGACAGAACTTGGGATTCCTTGCTTAGGCTTTGATATGCTGGTGTGTCGAAGATAAGTATGCAAGAGTCTCCCGATTGGGCTGCCAAATCAAGGCAGCTGTTCTGCGTATATGAAAGTCACGGCTGATGCAGCTTGCCTGTCAACCACCACCAGCATGGGTTTGACGCTTTGTGCTCAACAGATGTTACCTCGCCGTTGTGCGCGCAGGTTGTGGGACTTGGGCCAGCAGCGGTGCATCCACTCGTACGCGGTGCACACCGACTCGGTGTGGGCGCTGGCCGCCAACTCCGCCTTTGACCACGTCTTCAGTGGGGGCCGGGACGGTTGTGTGAGCCCGCCACTCCGTGTCGCTGACCTGCGCTCTCAGGGTCTTCGAAAGAGCTTGTCGGATCGACGTGTCTTGTCTTCTGCGCCCGCATGTCTTGATCTGTAGGCAGTCCCTTGTTCCCTTCTGCCCGTGGCCGTTTCCATGGCCGTGCCGTCTGCTGCAGCTCTCGGCCTCGCTGATCCACCCCCACCAGCAATTCCCCCGCACAGCGGTGCTTGTCCCAAGGCCGCTCGCTGATCCCCATGTTGTGCGCAGATATATTCGACGGACTTGTCGTCCCGCGAGAGCGTGCTGCTGGCGGTCGAGCCGCAGCCCGTTCTGGCCATTGCGCTGGCGGAGCGCGCCCCGTCCCCGCCATCTCTCTGGGCCTCCACCCCCGCCAGCGACCTCCACCGCTGGCCCGCCGCCAGCCCCGCGGGGGCCCCCTCGGCGGTGCGCCGTGCCTCCTCCTTCGTGGCGGGCAGCCTCGCCATCACCCGCGCGAGGGCCTCCGTTGACGGGTCGGCAGCCCCAGTACGTACCACCAGCTACGAGCTCCCCCGAGGAGGGCTTGACTTGATATCTGCTTTTTCGGAGATGTCTGTCTCAGTGGGGTGGCAGAGGATCGTTCCTAGAGAACAGATACAATTGATTCTGCAGACACCTCAGTAGGTTTTATTATTCAATTCGGAAGCAAAACTTGCAGCCCGGCCCTCCCCCCCATTCATTGGCTTGCCCCGTCGACAAATCCAGCTTGCTCAGTATGCGGAGCCCAGCCCTGCCGTGCCGCTGACAGCTGTTTGCCGTCTTTCGCAGGTGCCGGTGGCGAGTCGTCCCCTGGCCACCATCGCGGGCAGCCCCGCCATCGTGCAGCACGCGGTGCTCAACGACCGCCGCCACGTCCTCACCAAGGTACCGCCCCTCCTCGCGCTCCAGAGAGCTCGCTCGAAACTGGGATCAGAAACGCCGTGTCAGTCAGAGTCTGCTTAAGCAAGGCTGGCAGCCAAGAAGAGTGCTGCCGGTTTCCGATTTGCATCTTCAGGGGACCCGGTCTTTGCCTTAAGGGGGTGAACGGGTGAACGGGTGACACGGGTGTCGCTGAGGGCTGACTGCGTGGCTGTGCGGGGTGATGCAGGACAGTGCGGGCGAGGTGCAGCTGTGGGAGTTGACGCGCGGCCAGGTGGAGCAAAGCTACGGCCAGGTGGGCGCCGATCCACACGCGGTGCAGCCGCTCTCGAGTGATCCCCCGTTTTGTAACTGTGTGGGTTGTTATGATATGCCAACGCGTTGAACGACAGATGCTGACCAGCTGCGCTCCCTCGTTGGTTGCAGGTTGACTTTGAGCAGAAGGAGAAGGAGCTCTTTGAGATGGTGAGCAACGGCCCCACCACTGCTCCGCTCTGGATGTGCCATCTTCAGATGCAGCTCTCATATCAACACTCTCGCAAACCTCCTTTGTGACATTGTTTGCCCCCTCTAGTTGCTGCCGTGCCGCCTCCTGGTCTAATGGGGTGTGTCGTGGCGGCGGTGCAGGTGTCGGTGGCGTCGTGGTTCACGATGGACACGCGGCTGGGCAGCATCAGCGTGCACCTGGAGACGCCGCAGTGCTTCGCGGCCGAGATGTACGCAACCGACCTCGCAATGCCCAACGTGTCCGACGATCTGAAGGTGAAGCACGGGCGCTCATACCAGCCACTCTGGTACCGCGTGTGATTTTTGGGGGCATAAAGAAAGCACACGTCGAAACATGAGCGGCTTCAGGATGGCATCGCATCGTGTATCTGCGGGGTTGGGCAAGCCTTTGGCCAAAACGTTGCTTTATACTGGACAGAAAGTCATGTTACCTGGGTGGCAAAGGCTTACTTGCCTAAGGTCCTGGCCACAATCCTGGCCACAATTCCCCCTTGGTACTTTTGCAGAACATGAAATGACTCCGCTCAAAGCGGACTACAGTTGAGGTTGGACTTCGATTGTCCCTCCTCTAAAAGTAGCACCACTTGCTGTCAACGGAAGGGTGCAGTCCCTGCCCTGCCCTCCTTGCACCAGAAGGCTCCGTTTCCTGACGTCCTCCTGTTTGCGCGTTGCAGCTCAACCTGGGCGAGTACACCCTGCGCGGTCTCTTCTCCCATTGGCTGGCCGGCCGGCGCGAGCGCGAGAAGCGGCAGCCGCCCCCCGACCCTGCCCCCCAGGACAGCCCGTCCGCGCCTGGGGACTCCCCCGGTCCCCCCACCCCCGACCCCCAGGACCGCCGCCAGTCGGATAGCCAGCCCGAGGCGGGCCCGGCGAGCCTGCCCCCAGCCTTCCAGTTCTCGAGTGCCGCGCCGCCGTCCATCATGACGGAGGGCGCGGAGGGGGGCCCCTGGCGGCGGCGCGCCACAGAGCTGACGGGGGACGAGGGCGACGAGAGCATACCAGGCTGGGCTAGGGAGGCGCTTCATGGGAAACTGCCGCAGCGGGACCAGGCCAAGTGAGCAAAGCCAAGCGACCGGAGCCGCCAGGATCATGGCACGTGCAAGCTGCAATGCATAGTCTGTGTTTGGATCGGCACTGGCTACGTGCAGGGCTGTGGCAGAAATAAGAAGAGTGTTGTAGCTTTTCCTGGTTGCTGCGAGAGCGGGCTGAGTAGGCATGCCTTTCCGGTGCCTGTTGTGTACTGAAGCGTTCTCTGGTGTGCCCCGCTGCCAGGTGCAGCTTCCACCTGGTGCCCGTGGAGGGGTCCGGCCTCAAAGCCTTGACGCAGGGCAAGCTCAGCGCGCCGCGAATACTCCGGGTACACAAGGTCAGCCACTGGCACTGCCGCCTGGCCTGCCGCCCTGAGCCGGCTCTCGCACGATTTGGAGCATGCCGCCACTTGTGCACCTCCATGCGTAAGTACCAGTCTGCCGAAATGCATCTTTCTCGTTCTTGATACGGTCGTTGCTGATTACAGCTTTCTCTGTCGCAGGTAACGAACTACGTGATTGAGCGGTTGCAGCTAGACGTGCCGTCGGCATTGTCAGATTCAGGGCCGCCGGACGCGCATCCCGGCGGAGCCTCCAGCAATGGAAGCGTCGACACGGGGCAGCCGGAGAGAGCGCCCACAAAGTCGACGCGGGTGGAGATACTATGTAACGATCAGGTGAGGGATGCATACGCGGGGCTGCCTGTGGCACACCACCGAACGGTCCTCGGCAGGAAGCCGTGGAGCGGAAGGTCCGCGTGTTCGTGATTTGCGAGGAACATTGTGAGACGATCGAAGGAACGCCAATCAAGTGCCTGAATGATCGGTACGTTCCGCAGGTACTTAAGCCGGAGTGGAGCCTCGCAACAGTGAAGGCCTATGTCTGGAAGAAGCCTGAAGATCTCCTTCTTCAGTATCGCACGGTTGTTGTTGCAGCCTAGAGATACGGCTATGGAACAGGGCGGGTCATCACCAAGTGACCCTCCGCCAATGTAAATGTTGGGCAGTTGTACTTATGTTTATAGAGTCCATCCGGAACGTCAAGCTGCAGCACCTGCTGCATTGCTTCCGGTTGAATGCAACTTCATGTTTGGAAGTTTGCGGGCACCTGCCGCGGCAGTCCCGCATTCCCGCCGTGCACAATTGAAGGCGGCACTGTGAGATTTGTGACGCCTCGGTGACCAATCCGGCCGGTTGTGAAAGGTGATACCATGTGAACAGATTTGCGACATAACATGCTGGAAGGGGTCAGGCGCAGGGTAACGTGGTAAGAGGCCACTATGATATGGTGTAAGATCTCGTGACATCTGTGTAACTGAGCTGCCGCACGGTTGCACTCTTTATCATGGATCCTTATGTAAGGATTCGACCATATTCTACCGCCAACCATTGCGCAGGCTATGTCTTGGTCGCACGGCCAGCTCCTTGCAAGCTGTCTCTTGCAGCCGCATATGATTGTAAGGTCCCATGTGCCTTAACATTAATAATAGTTATATAGCTGATCTGCGGCATACAGCCGGACAAGGCACAGGCTGCAGCACATCTATTTGCAACCGCGCGAAGTTCTGGCTCGCAGATCCGTTGTGCGCTTGACATCTATATATGTACGGTTAACGTTATCTTTTCATATCCCTTCAAGCATACGCGTCATATTGCAAAGTATTTTGACCATATTGCACATGCATGCAACACAACGCACATTGAGTCTCTGCATATGTGCAGATTAAGTAATCCGGGCATCTTAATTGCACATGCATGCGACGTACGTTTCTCACTTGCGTGGCGTGCATGCGATCAAATTCTGGCAAGCCTTGCAGTGGCTGATTCTTGCTCACAGGAGCATACATAGAGTCATAACTTATAAGCATGCACTTCGACCGGCGGCTTCGATACACATTGCACGTGTGCAATTTTGTTTGAAGCTTGTTGACGGCAAGATTGTGTATCGATGATTACCATTGTAAAGCAGCGCTGAAAGCTCTGCATGCAGCGCATGACATACAAACATGATCGACGTGCCCGTGCCAACGAAGGGTAAAGACAAAACATTGCTGCAACACAAAAGCTTTCCGATCTTGACTTTGTGGGGCCTGCAGTGTCCATGTCTGCATTGGGCTTCCCGATTCCACAGAGACCTTCCAACGCCCCCTGAAGTTAGTGCAGAGAGCGCACAAGGCCGAAAGATACAATAGACAACTACAGTCCTCGTACCCTGTTTCTCCACCTCCCTATCAACCTTGGTAGAGCTGCCAATAAGGTGTCTCAAATATGATCTCGAGACGCCTCCGCGTAACCATTGCCGTACAAAGAATGATGTTTCTCAATGAACAAGTAAGACTCATCGGATAAGCCGCAGCACGCAAGAAACTCGCTATTCGCTAGGTAAGCTAGCATACCTCTGTCATAGCCGTGCACGCATACGGCTAGAACTCAAGCCTCAGGGTCGAGGATCCGGGTCGATTCGGAACGGTCACCGCAAGCTTGTAAATAGACTTGTCATATGAGAACGGCAGGCCTTCTCCATCGAGAGTGCACACACGCGGCTCTGCTGAGCTGTACGCACCGAAGGAGCCTCCCCCAATCAGCGTTAGGTCCACAGAGGAGGTGCCACTGGGAGCCACCTTTTGAATCGCACCTCCAGAGTTGAACATGTCGGTCAACCCGATCGCCGCAAAGTCGGTTCCATTCAATCGCTGAACAGGGGCGATGGTAAAGACCTCGAACTCCTTGGCGGGCAGAACAAAGGACTGGCTGTGGGTCGCATCAACACGAGCCAAGGAGCCTGCAATGAGAAACCGTCCGTACTTTCTCAGTCATGGTCTACGCAGAAGGTCGCATACAAAGCCGCAGACGGGATGCTTTGGTCCAAAACTGCACGAGGTGAGCTGCAACTTACGTATCCGGCTTTCCTCACACCATGGCACAATTGTGACGGGCAAGCCTGGCACGACCAGTGGCGCGCTCATCCGGCGGCGTGCCTCACCTGCTGTGTGGCTGAAGATGACGACGTCCCCGGTCCAGTGCTCCCCCGCCAGCTGCTCCAGCCCGGGGATGTCTGCCCCCGCCACGCCGCCCGCAACCGGCCCGGGTGCCGCGTCGTGCACCAACTGCACCTTGGCCGTCTCGCTCCACCCCGCGCCCTACACGGACACACGCGCAGTCAGCGAACGCGAGCCTCAAGCCGGGAGCACTGCAGGGTTCAACCACATCGAGCATCACAGTGCATGCTGCACGACATCCGGGACCAAGCAAACAACCCGCAGCCGCTCCCCCTTCGCTTTTAAGGGCTGTTGATCATCGACTCCGCACGACTCGCTCCCTGTGTCAGCACTGACCTGGCAGTTGAAGGCGCCCACGACGGCGGTCGTCGCGTTGACGTTCCAGATCTTGAGCGGCGTCTTCTGGTCGCGGCAGGGGTCCGCGAAGAGGCAGTCCAGCGTGGGCCGCCCGGGAAGCAGCGCGCGCAGCACGCGGCCGTCGGGGAGCACCAGCTTGCGCAGCACCGCGGGGTCGTGCTCGCCTGCACCAGCGGGGTACATTGGTCACAGCCGCACAGGGGGGCGGGGGCACAGGGATCAGCCGGAGGGAGCAGGAAAAGAGGAGGGTGCGACATCCGATAAGGCCGAAGCAGCACCTGAGCTTCAACGCAGCGCCAGCTGGAAATGGAGAGGGCACGCGTACCAGGGTGATCTGACACGTAGACGGCGCAGCCGCCGACGGCGCGCGCTGCGGCATGATAGAAGGCCATGGGGTGGCGCGACTGGAACATGTCCCAGTCGACCACGAAGAGCTCGCCCATGAACAGGCTGTTGTATGCGCATGAGGCCACGTGGATGGTGTGGCTCGCGGGGTCCTGCAGCATCACAGCGCCCAGTGTGAACAAGGCCGCAACTTGGACATGCTCCTGGTCATCAACGCAGCAGGACCACGCAAAAAAGCTTGGCCAGAAGTGTCGGTGGTCAGAGGTGGCTTCAATCCAGTCGGATACTCTCGGCTTGAGGACGTCAGTAACTTGTTCTTCAAACAGTGAGCTCTTGTGACGGTGACTCACGCGAGGCCAGAAGTCGTCAGATGCGCGGACCGAGTTGATGGTGCGCGTGTGGAACATGGCGTCGTTGCCGTGGCTCATGCACGAGATGGCGTCGTTGTCCGGGAAGTGCGCCGCCACCGAGTCGCTGAAGCCCTTCTGGTACGCGACCTGGATGGCCACCCGCCCGCCGAAGGCCTGCCCCACCGTCTCCACCGCGCTCTGCACGTCCACCTTGACGCCGTCCGCGCCCGCAGCCGCCAGGTACGCGTGCTGGTCCGAAAAGTACTGGCCCACCTGGGCGGGGTCCATCACGCCCACCGCATACGCTTTCATGTCCTGGCCAGAAAAGAGGCAGTCGCAGGCTTAATTCTCGAAATCGTTGGCAGAAACACCTTGCAATCCCAAAACCGAGGAAACAGGGAATCTGGAACGACCAGAATCGAGAAATGAGGAGCTGGGCAGTACTTCCAATGCTGATTCTGATGGTGAGCAACGTCGCCAATCATATGGAGATGCCAAACTGTTTTTCGCCGTCTTTACCTCGAGTGCTGCGTCCGGCTGGTTGCAGCGGACGCCCGCGGTCACCACTGGTGCCTGCAGGGTCGATCCGTACAGGCCTGGCCGCACGCCACCCCCTGCACACAGACACGCGCGCAGCGTCTCGAGGCAGCGGTCGTATGGAGGGCTTGAGGAACGGAGATACGTTAAAAATTGGGGCACGTCGCTCAATGGTGTAAAGGTTTGCGTCGTTACTGTACTGGAGAGCACTTGTCCTGACGACGTCAGTATCTTTTCCAGCGCTCAAAGAGTCCAGACGAAAGGCAAACAACTGTTGCTTGCGCAAGCACGACCAGAACCAGGTTCGTTGAAGCGCGGCTCACAGTAGCCCCCCAGCGCGTGCCACATGAGGACCTTCTTGACCCCGAGCTCCGCTTTCAGCTTGTGGATGAACGCCTTGAGGCTCTCCGGCCTGGCAGGATCCCCCGCAGCATCGCCGGCCTCCCTCTGGAACTTGCCGTTCTCCTGGATGCGAACCAGCCGCGTGCTTGATCTGCGCACCACAGACAGGCCCACCAGGTACCAGTCAGGCGGGTCTCCCGGGTTTTGCATTCACAGTCTGAACTCCCGAGGACACAAAGTCCTGTTTCAATGAGCCACCAGCCTTCCCTCAAAGCAAATCAGACACTACCGGAGCAGGCCCTCGCTCTCACATCCAACTAGGTCGAAAGACATAGGTTTTCGACGACGACAATCTTCGATCAAGAGAAACAATACAGAAAGTGCAACAGCTTCATGTGCAAGGTATGAGCAAAGTCTCAGGCAGAGCGGTGCCCCTCTGATATCCCGTGTCCTTTGTTACGACCTTGAGAGTTGGGTGGGGTCGGCCTCACTGTGTGCCGAGCTTGGGGTCCAGCTGCAGGGTGTCTTCCCCATCGGCGGCCACCGACTGCCACCCATCGTCAATGATGAGGAAGCCGGGAGGGGCGCCAGCCTCATGCAAACTGCACGCGCAGGAGCAAACATGAGGAACGCATGTAGCAAGCGGGGGAGCCGGAGTGCTGTGGCCCTGTGAAGATTGCATCAAGAGCAGTGATATCGACTTCGTACTCTGGCAATAAGTAAGGTACAGTCGCAGGATGTGGCCGGGTCAGCGACCAGTCCTTCCATCTGCAAAAGATGACATGGTTGGAGAGTGCAATTAAAGAAAAGGAGACACAGCATCGCCTGAGTTGCTCCACCCGTTTGTCAACAGGCCTCACCTCTTGAGGCCCTGCTCAATGCCTGCAGCATTGACCTGGGTGTAGAAAGCGTCTGCACCACAACCAGCAAAGTCAGCCAAGGCCGGCACAGGCACTGCAATTGGCCAAATTGGATCATATGCTACCAACCGTGGACTTCTGACCTTGAACCACAACAACACGACAAAAGCTCGCAATCCTTTTCGACTTATTGCTGGATGATTGCGCGATTTCCGACGAACGTACTTCAGAAGCAACACATTGCGCTACTTATTTTGTTGTTGCCGCAGGAACTTCGCCCGCCAGCTCCCAAGCCAGGCGAAGGTCATGACAGCCCTGGCAACCATGTGTCTGCCTAAGCTCGCTTACCCCATGTGCACCACCCAAAGTGAGACAGCATCCCCGGAATCTGCAAAGAAAGCCAAGAGATGAAAGTGAGGGGAGGACTGCTCACGGGCAGAAATGATGTCAAGATAACCTGCAGATTCAACAAACTGCTGAGTATCGATTGGCAAGATGAGTTTGCCCTTACCGCATGCGGCCATCAAAGGTTCCTACTTCAACTTTAACACTTGAAAACCTGCTCTGTTGACCACTACTTAGAGCAATTGGTGAGGCCTTCACATGGCTCGAGCTTCACAGCCAAGTCTCCACAAGGGTCAGTGGCAGATCAAATCACCTTCTTCTGCGTCCTGGTCTGGAATGTCTGCAGGTGCTCTCTAACCGCCTCCACGCTCTTCTCAATGGCAACATATGGGTCTGAGTCAGAGCCGGCATATGCAATAGCCTTGAAAGTGGACTTGGTCACCACCGTGCTCCCTGCAGGAGATACAAAATGAGTTTGGGTGCCAAAACGCTGGACAAGAATGATTGCCACCCGTTCTTGTTGGCTCAGCACAACAGAGCCACGCAGACACGTCAGCAGCTTTTGCTGCCTTTTTACTTCTTTACTCTTCCTCAAACTGCCGCTAAAGCTCTCAGGCACTTGAAAGGAGTTGGAGCCTACATTTGCAGCTCGAAATGAAGCTCACCAGACTCGACGACCAGCTGCAGCCTGTTGTTGCCACCACCCTGGAGACATGCTCGGAATGGACCCTCCACAATTGGCAGGATTACAGCATAAGATGGCTTCTTATTCAAGCTCCCATTGCTGTCATCTGCCTTCAACTCTAGAAGAAGAAACTGCGTCTCGGCAGCCACATGATCACCACTGTCTGCAATCCTTTGGCACTGCATGACACACCAAATGAGTAAGACCGCAGGAGGCGTGAAGGTGGAAGTGTCATCGAAACAGAGATTGCAAGATGTCCATGTAAGAAGTCGTACTCCAAACCCAAAGCGCCTGAGGATGAGAAACTGCATTTCCGAGGTGCATAGCACCTTAAGAAGTTTCTCGCATCTTCATCATTGATTGGGGAACCAGCCTAACAAAATCTACAAAAGTGAGACATTGACAGTAGAATTTGCAAAGATCATGCTATTTCAAAGCAGCTCTTGCTATTGAGTTCAAAAATTACAACCAGCACGCTCATGCCATCTCTTAGTTGATTCTGCCAATGACGCCTATAAGGCTTTTATAACACGCGCAATGAGGCGCCGCCAGCCTTTTATCTCGCACGCAATGAAGCTTCTAATCTGGACTTGCTTGTTGTTGTATTGTTATCCATTTCATTCTGCCCGTATGCTTGACGCCATCTTGCATCAGTACCACCATTTAAGATAAACAAGCAGGTGTCAAGGATTTCTGCAGTGTGATCTTCGCCCGCATAGACAAGTCATCCTAGCACAGAGGAGAGGTGGCATACCTGCCACCACAGCTTGAATCGAAACGAGGAAACAAATCGTGTGGCCCTGCAGCATAAGGCCAGATAAAGTATGAATGTGCTCCAAGCAGAGAACAAGCATGTTGAAACTTGCTCTCCACAAGTCTTCACATTTACATTGGGGGTTGATATCTTGAGACCAGCAAGAATTTGTCAGAATCTCAGAACCTTTGCTGGAAACCTCTCCTCGAGGAATGTGTAATTGACAACGCTTGAAATGCATCACAGGCTCCATTTGAGATGATGGTCAATATAGGCAGTTCCGCAATTCGTATCAACCAGCTGGCTCAGCTTGAGAAATTGCTCTCCACAACTGAAGGAGTCAAAAACTCAAAATCCTTACGTCAAGGTACCGAGGTCAAATGTATGAGCTGAATCCGCCTGGCTGGCAGAGGCTCCAATGAAGGCTCCTGAGGTGGTGGTTGCCGGAGAGATAGTCACGTTAGGTGCAATCTCTGATAACAAGGTCCTTCCGCCAACAAGAAGAGAGCGGTCGCTCAATTCCACGCTGTTCTCCATTTTCTGTCCAACTTGCTTGATCGGAGATGACACCGCTGCCTGGCAGTCGACCTTGCAGGGTCTATTGAGGCGCGGGTTTGAGCGTAGTCTGCGGATATCCGAGCTGGCCGCCAAAGCAAGGGGCGTTTGCTGATGCAGCAGGGGACAAGGTAACAAAAAGGTGGAAGAAAGCTGAAGAGAGCGACCAAAAGACTTGGTGGTCAAAAGCAGACCTTGGCAATTGCGAATCACGATTTGTGACATGACGAGGGAGGTGGTAGCTTCCCACAATCAACAAACTGAACAAGGTGACAAGCGCAGCGCGGCTTGCACAGAACAGGCTAGGGAGGCCAGGTATAAACAACCTTCAGGTTTCATTGTCAATGGGAATCAAAAACAACCTCTTCAACGATTATGGTGCTCAATGCTCATGCCAACGGGTGGTAGGTACCTATCGACACCCGTACCATGATTACGTATCATTATGGGACACAACTCGCCTTCGTTGGATCAATGCAGTGCTGCTGGCAAACACACGCCGTTGATGAGCCCTGCTGGTGTTTCCTGACGGTTGCGATCACCGGAGAGTGGCATTTATTCTGATTTTAACGTCGACGTGCATGCATTCAAATCTTGCCCAATCCGTCCTCAGTGCTCACCTTCAACAATTGGCTGCAGACCGTGTGCCTCGCTCTAGTTCTTGCAGAGTGAAGTCAGAAGGAGCCAGAGTCTAGGATTTAGAATCTTCTGGAGAACCGCAAGTCGCTTGCCTTTGCAGCAGTTTTTGCCACTTCCTCGCACCATTTTTCCTGAATGTCACATTGTCATTCTTCTTACTGTAGACAGTCAAATCCACGGTGTCTTTTAGCGTGACTTGATATCTTGTGAGAGATTCTTTGCGCCGCAGAAGAGTTGCACAATGTCGTCCATGACCATGTCGCGATCAGTAGCGCTCAGTGGACCAAGCGCCTGTGCGGCAGCAGACCTGAGGGCCTCTAGCTTGAGCAGTAAGTCCTACAATGCCAGCGCTCAAGTACCAGTGCTCAAGTCCTTTGAAGGTCAACAGATGCAAAGAGGACGATATGGGGATTGCCACATTGCAAGGGACTTGCAGTGTTTTCGCCGTTCGGGATGATATACCAACAAAAATGTTTCTTTGATGTGTAGGTAATTTGGCAACCACTCCGAGCCCTGTTGGCCAGAGGTTGCCTATGTTGGGGTTCTCGGGTAGCAAGCAGAATTGTTCAAGGAGAGCCTGTCGAGTGGTGTCTGTTCGGGCGCTCACCAACAATGAGGTTGATATCGAGAAGGTGAGTGGTACAGACAGCGCCAGAGTGTTTCACTTGGTAATGGTGCATGGTAGATATCGTCCGTGCACAACCTGGGCGCTGCAGTCAAGATGGCTAGACTGCCATCTGCTCTTGATGCACGTGGTGGTAGACTCACCAAGGTCGTGGATATCACATCCTTGATGCATTGTGAATCCTGGCTAGCCTTTCCTACTTTGTTCTACACTGATGCCCTGGCCAATCGAAGGATTGGGAAACAAACGGGCAGCAGTCTAGAATCTGCAGCCCTTTCAAGTTTCCACGGTTTTTTGGGATTTTCAGTAGTTTGTTGTATTCTGTCTGCCGTTCTTTTACGAGTGAAAAACTTTGTTGTGCTGCAGGTTCAGCCAATGGGTGATCGATTGTTTGTCCGTGTTGATGACGCACCACAGGTGAGTCTGCACTCGTCTGTCAACGGGAGGAAGCTTCGATGGACGCATTAGGAGCACCATAATTGAGTTACCTCATCTATGCACGCATGCCGTTCATAAAGTTTCGATTTGTATGCCTTAAGTCCAAGACCTGTATATCTAGCGTACTGAAGATTTGACTGGAGACAATTATTAACATGGGATTCGAGCTACTTCTACAACTCATCTGAATCGGCCAAGGCTAAACACGTGATGGTGGGGGTAATTCTGGGGGCTTAGAGTCTACCTTCTTCTACCGCAAGTTCGTCAGATGCAGTGCACGTCAAGATGTAGAGATGTGAGTCTTGGATGGAAACAAGCGGACCGCCAGGGTCTTCCGATGTGTCTTTTTGTGGGCCGACACCCAAGCCTGGATGATCTGACAATTAGGGATAAGCAACATCGTTGTCAACATTGCGGTGCAATGTTCTTCCAGGCCACAGCAGGAGGCATTCTGCTTCCAAAGTCATCAACGTCAAGCGAAAAGTTTCTTCTGGGGGAGGTGAGGTTACACGCACTTGAGAGCTTAGAACAGGATGGAGAGAAGCGGGTATTTAGTTTCCCAGCCATAGTCATGGCTGAGTTTGTACCGAGTTATATTGTGAAATTTGGTCGCTTACAATTTTGTTGCATGAGTGGTCACGGTCATAATATTTGGCATCAGGTGCCTTGATTCTGATCGCATGCCCTTTTTGACTGGCCGCTGGATCATACGTTCGCTGTCAGCATTGAGCACTCCATGCGGAGGGCGTCGCAGCGCACGAATTCTTGGCCTGTACAAGTTTCGAGGATATCTCAGTTCCTCAACTTTGGGAAGCACGGTGGGTTCTGATGCACCCAGTTTGGTCAGTAGTAACCCGCTCATGTTTCGATCTGTGTCTTTACTTTCTTTATATGTACATCGTGTAGGTGTTGGCAGTGGGCAAGGAAGCTAGCGGGGCATATAGCAAGGGGCAACGAGTGCTCTTCACGGATCTGCATACACAAGAGGTTGGTTGCCCCCATGGCCTTGCCTTCGACCGCTAATCTTCTGCCAACTGCACCGCCCAGTACTTTACCTTGTAAACGAGCTAGTTTCAAGCCGCGACTAATTTCATATGTTGCAATGAAGATTCGAGCAACTGTTGCAGACCTGACCTGAACCTTGGGGGCGTGTGATGTTCTTCAAATCGGGCAGTCAATATCAATTTTTGTCTTCTCTCGCAGGTTAACCTGGGCTCGCGGAAGGATAAGCTTGCCTTTGTCAAAGCTAAGGACCTCTTGGGAGTCGTCGAATAGGTGCAGTCGTTTTATATGTAGGGACACTTTTTGGTTGTTTGAATATCGGACTTGCAAACAAAGAAACTTAAAATTTCTTGCGGCTCCCAGCTGGCCCATCATTTCTCGGCCGCTCAGGGTAAAAACATCTATATGGAAACCAGGTGTCGACCTGCTCCGCTTCTTGTTTGAAGAAATGGATCCATTCTGAACATAGGTACACTTACCAAGAGACCAGGAGCATTGAGAATCTTGGGACAGTTAACCACGACACGAGATCGAAGCATTGCCAAATATTTGAGTCAGAATCAGTTGATCGAAACCCGCAATTGTACCCACGGTCTGTTTGTTTACAGATCAAAATCTCAAACAACCAAAGGATGGCCGAAACTCAAGATGTACATCTGCAGAAGTATCTCAAGCTATCAATCATAAATCGAAAGAAGCGATGCTTACAAGCGATCTGGTCGATAACCAATTGAGGTGCACCAGAACCCGAAGCTGGTGAATGTCGATTTCATGATGCTTCTAAGTTTTCCATCAGCACGTTCTGCATGGCAGAGCGTCATTAGTATACAGTTGACGTTTCAGATCTAAGCGTCACTTGCATGGTTCCTGTCTATGTCGTGGACTATATTTGAACAGCCTTATAGACCTGCAACTGGATCCCCGGCGCATTTAGTTACTAGTGATGCATATAATGTTGAGCAGAGCCAGTGTGAGATATCGAGTGACTGGGCGCGGCCGACATTGCTTTGCGCCAGCCTACATAGATGATTAAATGCCAAACCAGCGCGCTTAGAGCTCAGCTGGTCAATTGTAGTGCACATACCATCATTGATGCAGAGCTGTAATGCATCGGATAGTGCTTCTATGACTCGATATCGAGGCCACTTCTATGACTTGGTTTCGAGGCCAGGATCGAAACACAATTGTTTTTCGAAATATACAATGATGAAAAGCTATGCTTGGCAAAACCTGCTCACCGTCACTGCTGCGCACCTAAATGGAAGCTACATGTGAGCATGAGGCTTTCCGCAAGTCTCCCCTGCAAACTCTTTTGCATTAACAACTACTACTATGATACAGAGCCGGAATCTGCCCATGCCGACCTTGACTCTAAAACGACCCCCTAATCTAGGCAAACAACTGCAAGTCGCCCGTTTCAGCCAACTGTACACTGCACTGTCTTTGTCGTGACCACTGCTTGAACGACTCAATACAACAAGGAACCAGGTCAAAATCAACTCTTCAGCTCACCTTCAATACAGACTTGGATTGCGCCTGGACATCAATCGACGACTAAAGTGAGCTACTCTTAGTGCGGTGCATCTTGATCAGGGTGCATTTCACCAAAGACTAAGCTGAACTACTTCGACCATGAATGTTCAACCTTGCTTCCGGCATGATGGATTCGTACTAATGTTCAATCCATCTGCAATGTGGTGGCCCCCCCAGGGCCCAACGTGCGCCGCCCCCAGTACGGCCAACTTGTACCCCATCTGCCTATTCCCTGCCCTCTCTCTCCTCCCTGGAGACCACCCGGCAGACCTGCACCAACTCGCTGTCCCCATCGGAAAGGTCGTCGCATCTCTCCTCAATCCAGCACTGCACATGCTCCAGGAAGGTCTTGTTCCCAGGCCGCTCGGATCGCTTGATGTAAGTGGCGGCCTCCCGCTCGGTGTACGCGTCAATGTGCTCGTCTGTCGCAGCCGCCATGCTGTCCGAGTACGAGGGATACGCAAAGTAGGCCTGCGCCTCTGCGGCCGCCACCAGCCGCTCTTCCTCGGGGTGCAGCTCCGACGCAGTGACGTGCAAGTCACGCAATGCAATGGCAAGGCGCTTGTAGTGGCCCTTGTCCACCCCCTCCAGCTCGTCCAGCCGCTCCACGCCCGCGTTGCTGATGCTATACACCTCGCCCTTCACATGGTGCCCCTCGTCCCGGTTGTTGAGCATGAACGGCACCTGGAACGGCCCGCACACCAGCGGGTACCGGTGCTGCGTGCGCGCCGTGCCCAGGAAGTGTGCGGTGCCCTGCTGCACCATGTCCTCCATGAGCCAGTAGTTGCCGAACCCACGCTTTAGGGTGCCATACACGAACGCCAGCTGGCGCCGAGTGAAGGCCTCCTTTGGACCCGCAGGCTGTGAGAGACCATGAGAGCGTTCGCGGACGGGGGCTGCTGGAGAAGGGGCTGGCCACCGCTTAGAGGGAGCCTCCGGAGGAGAGGCCCGGTAGGGGGTGGTGGCAGGGGAGTGCTGGCATACAAGAGGGCCGCAGCACAGGGCGCGCGTCATGCTTACTTTGTTTGGGTTCTATCCGGATTGTCCTACCTGGAACAGGCCACAAGTAACCAACACCTGCAATTGGAGGCAGCAGGAATCAAAGGTCCAGGGAAAACGGAGCACGCCACATGTACCACATGTCACAGTTTGAAGCTACAAGATGGATAAGGATTCGGCCAGGCATGAAAAGCAATCCTCCAGAGAACGATGGGCCCCAGGTCAATCATGGCACGCTCCATAAATCTCCAATTCTTACTTATGTACAGAAGGTAACACCAAGTTGCTCAGAAATCTTCCCTTGAAACCGTTCAAGCCCACAGTTCAGAGGCAACAGAACAAAGTACAGCAGTCCACAGCAGTAACCGGAACTTCTGCAATCCCCCGAAAATTGTCAAAGGGTCACATTGAGTGCTTGTAAAAGTTCAACGGACAAAATCTGATCGGATTGTTTATGTACCACGTTTGCACAGAATCATCTCAAGAAAGCTGCAAGCGGCGGCATTGACTGCAAGAAACCTTTATTACCAGCATTCACGAGTTTCAAAGCTACCTGCCTCCTGCTCCACACCCGAAGGTGTAAGCGCATGCAGGCACTCTTCGCTATGCCCACCAAATGATTCAATCAACTCCTCAAGAAGGTAGACTAAGACAGGAACCTCACCACTATGTGTGGCCTAGATAACGCGGTTCCACGGAAAGAAGCAGAAGCGCTGAGCCAGACCGTCGTCCGAGCATCTCACAAAACCTAGACCAGCATAACATTGACTTCTCCAGAAGCAGACACTTTCATCCTCCAACGGGACATGCACATTGAAGGCTATCGAATGGACCGTATGATGGAATTCCGAATCTCGAAGCCCTTCTTTGCGCATTTCCAAGTGCCCAGCACTGCAGCAGGAAAGTGCAGGTCGCAGGCAGGTCGCAGGGAGGGTGTCGAGTCAGGACTCTGGATAAATTTCAGTTTTATGTTGAGTAATAGGCGCCTAGGCTGAGTTAGATCAGCTCCCCGGGTGCAAGCAAACTAAGAACCTAAACCTACCTAAACCTAAACCTGTCAACGTGTTTTAAGCAGGTTCCACCTTAACCACTAAATCAATAGCACACATTTCCCTGGCCACTGGGTTGATCGAACTCACCAATGACCATAGCCGTCGGTGTGTGCGTGCGTCCAGTTATTAAATTAACCCGACATTAAAAATCGAGACTGCTGGTTTTCTGGTCAACTCGTTCAACACGAGCTTCGCTAACCATTACCACGCAGGACTCGTCACGGTCCAATTGTGAGAGCCGCTTGCCCAGCAAGCTTTGTCCCCGTGCCTAGTTGAATGGGTGGTACCAGACTCGGAGGTCACAGACTCGAAATCGAATTAAAATGGCGCATGGCTTCAGAGATGCTTTGACAATTTTGCTCCTTGAGGCACCTTGATCCTTGCGCTTGCAATTGGCAGATCGGCACGATCAGCAGCATCGAAGCCGGTGGTTTTCTTGCCTGCCCCTACATGACCAAATTCTCTGCTTGGGGGCGAGCAGTCCGGCTGGAGTGAGCTATGACATGGGTCATAGAACCTGGGGTTAAGACTGCGCTGGGAGTGATAGGTGAGGGGAGGAGCCCGCCTGGCCAATCAAGCACCGACGCGCGGGCCTTGATCACAAGTGGTCCTTTGACCGGTGCCTGTAGATCTGGGGTCCCTTCTTCAAGAAGGTCCAATCTGGCGGATAACCTTCAGCTTCCTGCGAAGCGTTGCCTTTCCAACCTTTTTGCGAAATGCCTGGCTTCTCTTACATCTATTCAAATTGAGGGGACAAGTTGTATTTGCACTCTTGCACCTGTGTTGCTATAGGGCGGGAGGCATGGCCTGCGCTCCGCCTATGTCCCACCTGATCCCCACCCCTGTGTGGCTGCAGGAAACATCACCGCTCTTGGCCTGTTCTTAGCCCCAGTGTAAGTCTGTTCGTTGAAAACCCTTTTCCTGTCGGCTTCCTTGTTGGCAGTGCCCATCACACGTTGCACACTCATTCGGGCCTTACGTCAAGACATCCGTCAGACACGTTGCCCTGCGCTCTGACCCCGCTGCCCCCTTGCCTGCCTTGCAGCAAGACCTTTGTGCGCATCCTGCGCGTGCGCGGGGTGGAGGACTTCTCGTGCCTCCCGTACCTGGTCACTTTCCTCAACTGTTCGCTGTGGACTTTCTATGGCCTCCCCGTCGTGACCCGCAGTGCCATCCTGGTGGCCACCATCAACGCCGTTGGCACCGCTCTTGCCCTCTCCTACTGCCTCATCTACATCACGCATGCCCCGCCCCCGCAGCAGGTCAGCCACAGACAATGAGACAGACATGCTGTGAGCTCCATGGGGTGTTTGTGCCTCCCATGCGCCCCTTGGGGACAATCATCACAATTTTGGAGTATCTGAGCCCCACCCATGTCAGACCGATTTTTGTAGGCCGATCGATCCGACCTTGCCACGTACCCATCTTGTCTCAATGCAACCACCAAGCTACAGAACGAAGTACGTCAACTGGCCTTTCTGCTGCACCTTGTGATTCCTTCTGACTTGGCGCCCGCAAATAAATGCAGCGGCGCACTGGGGCGCTGCTGGCGGCGGAGGGCCTGGGGCTGGCAGCGGTGGTGCTGATTGTGCTGCTGGCGTTCCCATTCCACATGCGCACCACAGTGGTGGGCATCGTGGCGGTGGTGGTCACCATCGGCATGTACTGCGCACCCCTGGGCAAGTTGGTACGACCCTCAAAGCTCTAGCCTTTTCCTGTTCAAGCATTTGAGCTGGGCATGGGTAGTTCTTTCTGTTTTACCGTTCAAAATTTTCGGATTCTTTATTTTGATACACCGTCATTAATCAAAGCCAGCCGCCCCTTTCTGCTGAAGCGACGGAGTCAGGCAGCTGACAAGAGCTGCCTCCGGGGATGGCTGTGGGATTCGTATGCGATGCGGCACCTGTTTACTGAGAGTCACATTCGTCGTTTGCCTTACCGAACGCCGAAGTATTTCGCAAACATCAGACTTACTTTGATTATAATAGGTTTAGAGGCCTACCAGAAACATAAGCTGACCTTCAATAAATGCGGCAGCTGGGCAGGCCCTGGGACACGTAGGATTGGTTGGGTGAAATTGGGGGAAGCCTTGATAGCGTGTCTTCGAGTACCAAATCTACACGAGCATCCGGTGGTCCAATAGCCCGCAAAGCAGAAGCTGATGCTTGCTTTCCAGGTGGGTGTTCTGCTTGACTCCCCCCCTGCTCTGAGGCTGCCGTCCTGTCTTTGTGTGCAGCGGCAGGTGGTGCGTGATCGCAGTGTGGAGTACATGCCGTTCCTGCTCTCTCTCAACGTCCTCCTCAACGCCACTGCCTGGACTGTCTACGCAGTGTATGCTCACGACATTTACGTCCTGGTGAGTTGTGCCATCGGACAAGATATCCTTTGTTCATGCGAGCAGGACTGGGCGAAGTCGATTGGAAACCTGCTTCTAAATCGAGAGTTGGGCTCTCTTATCAGTTGGGCTTGAGCCGAACAGTGGTCGGAAAAAGCTCGCAAGCTTACCCATTTTCATCTTCAAACCTGAACGCCAAGCAAGAGCCCCGTCCGGCCCTTGTCCCCTGATTAGAAATTGAACCCTTTGTAGATCGTCGGAAACGTTGGTCCGTTGTGGGGCACATAGGGACCGATTTTTACGTGTAGGAAGCAATTTGAGCGGATCCAGATCGACTAGCTCCTCCCTGTTTTGCAGATCCCGAATGCGCTGGGGGTGTTGCTGGGCACAGCCCAATTAGTGCTGTATGCGTGGTACTGCAAAGAACGGCCCGCGCCAGTGGCTGACACTGAGAGCGGAAGGGGCGGGAGTAGCACGCGGGGTGGGGCTGCGCTGCACAAGAACCTGAGCGCCCGGCAGCTGCTGGGCAGGACACTGTCAACAGGAGAGAAAGGAGGGGGGGAAGAGATCGAAATAGGAAACGGATTGGACAGTAAGTAGAAGGTACAAAAGCACGCGGTCAAGACAACATTTGTCATCACAAAAGGTACTATATACAGGTTATACTTGTGTCGTTGGAAATCAACGGCCACCAGCCGAGTGGGCCACGTCCATAAGGGCAACCCAGCGAGCCTCAAGTGTTTGACAGAGATCGAGCTACGGAACACGGACGACTGGAGCCTTGCTCTTGTCTGGTGGCCTTTGTGGCAGACAGGCAGAGATCGGAGCCAGATCTTGAGGTTTTCAAGCTTCGTATGGCATTGGTTTTGACTTGCTGATTCTGAATGTCAGGGTTATTCCTGTCATAATGGTTGTTAGACTGCTGAGGCCGGTGAGCAAAACTTTGAGCTTGGGGTGCGACACTGCTGAGCGATTGGAAAGCTGCGGCCATCTTCTGAAATAAGTGAGGCTTATTATTGCTGAACGTTACAAGTATGCATACCCAGGCATGTTAACGAGCTTCCTAAGATATTTGCGGACGCATCATCCGAGTCCCGTCTTAAGGCTAGGTCGGGAGGGTGGTGCATTGCTTTTCAGTGGCTTGGGTGCAACACGACTAGCCACTGGCAAGTATCTTGGATTCCAATATTTGGCGGTGACTTTCATGTCATAAATGATATGCAGCCAGGAAAATGGGCGTGGGGTTAAGGTGGGCGATCAGCAGTTGCGGATCCCGACATGAATCCGGTACTTATAAGTATACATATACCAGAGCCGATTCAGTCACTCAAAGTGCGCCGGGCTGTCTAATTATCTCAATGAAAGCTGCCGTTCGTGTAAGGAGAGCTCGAGGTGTCTATCTAAATATATACAGCTATACCATGCAAGCATTGATTTTTTAGGGCATCGATTCACTGCATGCATGGTCATGCAGGCCATGGCATCGCATACTTGTGGATGAGCAGCAGTACCGTACATGCACCGGATGTCGCTCGACTGCTGCAGCAGCTAAACCGCCCACGCTCGAGCAGATCGCTCGGCTCACCATAAAGTTTGGCATCATGTCTCGCATGCGAGGCCGGCATGGATTGATTTTGGCAACGAAGGCCATTCATGCAACATAAAATCCAACATCCAAACTAGTATAGATCCGCTATCATATATAAGCACGGCAATGAAGGGGCGCACTACGGCGATCAATCTTCACTTAGGCTCGAACATCACCTCCACAAGCAGAGTCGAGCTTACCAGGGACAAGATCGCATACTAGCTCTCTGAATGCTGACGTGCATGCCCGTTGGAACGACTGCCTCTTATAGCCACTTACAGGAACGACGGCCTGAATCAAATTCACTTTTGCTCATGCACTTTCGAAAGACTCGTCAATGGAGATTTATGAATACGTGTCAGGTAGTCGGTAACCTGTCAAAGTCTTCTGTCCAGTATAAATCCTACCACTTTTCGGCATTGCGTTCCAGTACATGGTCAAGTTCAAATCTCGACCCCTCATATTCCGCCCCTGAAAAGGTACAGTGGGCCATATGAATGTAGTATCGCCAGCCACTCCAGGATCTCGAAACTGACATCCCCATATCATGTGTCCGAAACACATTTGAGCAGGCAAATACTCCGTTCCACAGAAGTATCTGGTGCAATCTCGCAAGCTGCCATTCAAAGCAATGTAACAGAAGGGAGACGCAAAGCCGAAGTCAAGACCTGTCTATCCTGCGGGCCGCATAGGCAGCTCACCTGATCCACCAGGCGATACTTGTTCTGCACCCGAGGCAGTGCAATGAGCGCATCCTCGCGTCGCTCGATGATCCGGTCCCACACTGATACCTGCGCCGCACCCGGGGTGGATTGAAAGAGAAGCACATTTTAACTTACACAGTGCTGTTTTACGATTGATGTCTGGGTTGTGATCACAACAAGCATCAGAACGACAGAGCCAACAGAGACTGACAACCAACAAGCGATTGCACTTGGGCCGAGTGAGATGCATCCAGCCTGTACCCCTCAGGGCAGCCTGGTGTAGCGCCGCTGACCTGGTTCACGGCGTTCTCCGGGGTTGCATACTCGACAGCGAGAAAGACAAACAGCTGCACAGCAGAAGGTGCCAGTCAGTGGGCGGTTTGCTTGCCGTATAATGGAATCATAATGAGCATTTTGTGTAGGCTAGGCTTCTTGTGCATTAGGCCTAAGCTGACACTAGATGCAGGCTAACCGCGAGTTGGCTCTGACCTGCTTTGTGTTCCATGTGAAGACGCTCCGAAGATCTGCAGAGATGTTGAAGGCGAGAAAGGCCTGCACCCAGCATGAGGGCAGCCGTCAGCTGCCGGGGCCTGCCTCAGTTGGCCACCTGGGTCACACGCTCATCAACCATGGCAAAAGCAGTCAACAGGCAAAGCCAGTATTGCGCCATCGCGTGTGAGTCCTGTCGGGCTGCCGGCGGCCGGTGGCGGCGGTGCCAGCCAACCCGGCAGCGGCGCGGCCCACAGGTGTGGCGCTCACCTCGTCATTGCCCGCCTGCGACACCTGGAACCTGTCGACCTGGACAATCTGCAAGGGGGCCGCAGTGAGGGTCACAGCCAGCAATGCTCTGGCTCCTAGCAGACTAAGCACTGGCTGAGGAGGTTTGACGTTGTGCAGTGTTTCAATGACTGCCATCTGGCGGCCACTAATCCACCCTCCACCAGCACACATCAAAAAAACTTTCGTGCAAGAATGGCATCCAAGTGACCAAGGTGCACAGGCACAGAGCCAGGCAATGTCAGCGCAGACCGCTGTCCGACAGGAGGCACTCTGTGGCATCCGCTGCAGTGCTAATGTACTTCAGCTCAAGGCAAGAGGCAGGAGAGAGCGCCAGCGCAAAAGTGGGGCTCACATCCACCGCCACCACCGCACTGTCGCGATGGAAGTAGTCCGTGATGGAGGCGAGGATGCAGAGCACGACAAGCACCGATGCAACAAACGTAAGCAGCGAGTTGGTCCGGTACAAGAAAGTATGCATTGCGCCACCGGGTCGGGGACGCAGCGAAGACTGGAGAATGGAGCACAGCCCTGATCAAGTTGTGGAGGCAAATTGTCACAGATTATAAAGACTACCCATGTGAAGCCGCAAGGGCAACTGTTCAATCACAATTTGCAATCTAGCTCTCAAATGTCCCTTTGACTGTCTCACTGTCAGCTGCCAGTGCAAGTTGCAATGTCGGGCCTCGGAGTCCGCACCCAGTTTTCTTGAAGTCCGGCCAAATTGCTCTTCGAAGTTCAAGTGGACAAGCCCAGAGTTAGGGCAATCCCTCAACTTCCTGACACCAGCTTGGCTGCATGAAGGTGGTGACGGGGAGTGTTGACCGCCGGTGTCAAAGCTATGGCCTTCTAAAAGAAGTAGGAATGCTGCCGTCCTCGCTTCCAACACTCGGAGTCGTAGGCAATTGTTGCAGCAGCATTGTCAGCAGCCAACAAAGCAGACACCTGCTCATGAATCACAAATGGATGCAGGCCGGCGTCAAAGCTGAAGTCCTGTTCCCCTCATTCATTGTTGCGCCCTAGCTCGTGATCCCAGGGTAGCGGCCGGCTGCGGCGTCTCGCCATCCTCCCGCTGTGTGTGCGAGCATGCGGAAGGGCGGTGCGCGCTCCGGTGCGAAGGTGGCAGAAGCGGACGGGCCACAGTGCAATGGCTGCGGCAGCACGTTCAGCCTCTTCAACTGGAAGGTGAGGACCACTCCAGGGACAAGACCGGGCGTCACAGGATGCGGGGGCAGTGGAGACAGGTCCACAAGCAAAGTCTTGGCAAAGGCCTGTTGCCAGGGCTTAGAGTTGCCTGCTTCCACCTATGTCAGAAGGTGCACCAGCTTTGTTCAGACGTTCAATGTGGTCTTTGCATCGCTGACGAGCCCTTCGAGATGGTTTTCCATCTTGTCGTGTGTCTCAGATTCTTGTTCTGAACCTCCCCCCCCTCCTTCCTGTGGCGTTGCAGCACCACTGTCGCCGGTGCGGCAAGGCCTTTTGCGACGCCTGCTCCAAGGACCGCGCCGTGCTGTCTGCCCCCGAGTTTGGCAAGGAGCCGCAGCGCGTGTGTCACCCGTGCAAGGTGGCGGAGCGCCGCGCGCGCCTGGATGGTCACGGCAAGCGAGGTGACACAGCGGTACCCCATCTGTCACCTGCTATGACCCTCTTGGCTTGACGTCGGTGAGAATTGGCCAGAGCAACGTGGACATATATGAGAATAGCATCGCACACTGCTTGCCTCCCCCAGCTTGGCACTGTCGGGTGACTGCCCCTTGAGTCATCTGGTGGCTGTGTGCAGGCAACCGGCGCGGTGCGGCGCCGGAGGACAGCGCCCCGGTGGTGGACCTGGGCCTGGGGGCGGACCCTCTGGGGGGGGACCAGCTGGGAGACTCCCTGACTGCGCTTGACCTGGAGGACCCCCTCGTAGCGGCCACGCTGGAGGACGCCTGGTTTGGAGGGGCGGCGGGGGCAGCAGCCGATGCCAGAAAAGCCAGGGGCAAACCAGGTAAGGGGGGGCGCAGCAACGCGCAGGAGCGAGGGTTGAAGTGGCTCTCTTGGGGCAAGCTTTCAGGGTTTCGGAAGTGGAAAGACGGCTCTGAAGCTTGCAGCAAAGGTGAAGGTAGCCGCCCCCATCTCTGAGCTGTTTGAGTGGGCGGTGGCACTCTGTTCCGGCTGCTATGGCCTTCGTTGCCCATTGTACCCATCACCCGCTCATGCACGGTCAAGGGCCTTTGTTAACCGGAGGTGGCTCCTCTTGATGTCCTCCCCTTGCGCAGTCTCCGCCGGCGCTGCGGGGCGCGGCAAGGCTGCTGGCGGCGCCGCTTCTCCCGGAGCCGTGCCTGCCGCGCGGGGCAGCCCCGAGGGGGCAGCAACGGACGCGGTGCAGGCGGAGAAGCGGCGCGCGCTGGCGCTGAGGAAAGCAGGGAAGCCGGACGAGGCACTGCAGGTGAGAGGGGCTCGTGGGTTGGCAGGGGAGAGAAGAAAGGCATGCCCGGCGACTTGCCTGGAGTCTACTGCCACCCCAAAAGTTGAATACGCTGTTTGTGACGCTCACGCCCTCTTCCCTGCGGGGCCGCTCTTTGTGAGGCAGTGAGATCGATGGTTGTCCGCCCTCCTGAGCTTTTTTTGTTTTGGGGACAGGCCCTGCGCCACGCACACGACCTGGAGGCGCAGGCGGGCACTGGTGGGGCCAAGGGCAAAGCGGCTGGTGCCAAGAAGGGGCGCTCCATGTTTGACGTGAACGAGGACGACATGGCAGACCCGGACCTGCTGGCGCAGCTGCACGACCTCGGCTGGACCGACGACACCGAAGCCAAGAAACCGCGCAAACGAGCAGCACCGCCTGCCGGGGGGCCCGGGGCGGAGACGGCTGCTGTCCCGACAAATTCGGCAGGGCCGAGCCCAGAGAAGCGGGCGGCCCTGGAAGCGGAGATTGTGGAGCACAAGAAGCGCGCGCTGCAGCTGAGGAAAGCGGGGCAGCTGGAGGCGTGGCGGGACGAGATGGGCGTGGCGCAGGCACTGCAGGCTCAGCTGGAGCAGCAACAGCAACAGCAGGCGCCGCCCAGCGCAGCGGGGACACCGGGGGGCAGCGAGGCGCCGAGCGGGGCGAGCTCAGACGAGGAGGCGGACCCGGACGTCCAGGCAGCACTGCAGCAGCTGGGGTTTGACAGACAGCAACAGGGCGGGCCAGGCGGCGTAGCAGGAGCAAGCCAGAACAAGGGGCCCCCAGGGGTGGCGGAGCTCGAGGCGCAGATATTGCGGTATAAGAAGGAGGCGCTGGCGTGCAAGAGGGCGGGCGACCTGGACGGGGCGCGGGCAGCCATGAAGCAGGCCAAGCAGCTCGAGGCACAGCGCGACGAGGCAGCGCTGAACGACAGCACGCCGGCGTCGGCGCCGGCCACCCCCCCCCAGCCAAGGGCACCGCGGTCTGGCGGAGTGAGATCAGGGCGCACGGCTCCAAGAGGCAGGGACGGCGATGGAGAGGCGGAGCCGGAGGTGACATCAGAGGACGAGCAGGACCCGGAGATACTGGCGGCGCTGCGAGAGATGGTGCGACAGTCGTCCAGGATTCCCTGTTTATACTAACGATGCTGATTCAAACCGATTTGGCTTTCGTGGTTTGAAAGCGGGCTGGCATGAAGCAGCATAGTGTTGTCGAGGCCCCTTATATCTTTTCTATCTACTTGTGCAGACCCTTCCTTGGGCGAATTTAAACCTGACGCTTGTTTGTAGGTCCCGAACGGGTGGTCATTGCGCTTGTGGGCCAAGGCATGCGGATGGGCTCCCCCTTGTGACGGCTGCTGTGGTCTGTTGCAGGGCTGGCAGGACGAGAGGCCCCCAACGGCTGCGGGGCTGCAGCGCCCGGCGTCGGTGCGGCGGGCGGAGGAGGGGCTGGGCGCACTGGTGGGCGTGGTGGAGGACATTGCGGCGCAGAAGGCGCGCCTGGAGCAGGAGGTGGCGGCGCACAAGCGGGCCGCGCTGGCCAAGAAGCGGGCGGGGGACCTGGAGGGGGCCAAAGCCGAGCTGCGGCAAGCCAAGTGAGACAGCCCACCAGGACGCGGTTTCTTGAAAAAGCGCTGTGCGCTCGTGTCTGGCGACTCTGATCGTCTTGCACTGGTCTGTCCCCGGCTTTGCGTCTTCTGCCGTTGAGCACTGGGGCAGACCTGCGTGTGCCAGTTTGTGCCCGGCTGCATCCTCGTGCAATGCAATCTGCTCCATATGCGGGCACTCGGCCTAGACGCATCTCCCGCCTGGTGCGCTCACCGCTGCCCCGCCCTGCCCCTCCCCAGGCTGATTGAGCGCCGGCTGGAGGAGGCGGAGGAGGCGGAGGCCGCGGGGCTGGAGCCGCTGGACATGCTGATGCGCGCGGGGCACAGCCACACCACCGCCAGCACGGGGCCGAGCTCAGGCGCGCGGCAGGAGAGCAAGCCGCTGGCGGCCATCATGGCGGAGGCGATGCACAGCGACAACGTGGCGGAGCCGGACGTGGACTCGGACGATGAGAACGACCCCGAGATCCTGGCACAGCTCGCGCACATGGGCTGGCACGAGGACGCGCCCGGAAGGGACGTGGCGGTCGCACCGAGGGTGGCGGCAGCGGAGAGGCTGGAGGGGCTGGCGGGGCGCGCAGGAGAGGTGGCGGCGCGCAAGGTGGCGCTGCAGCAGCAGGCACTGGCGCTCAAGCGGCAGGCGCTTGCGCTGAAGCGCGAAGGCGACGTGGAGGGGGCCAAGGCCGCGCTGGGGCGCGCCAAAGAACTAGAGCGGCAGCTGGAGCGGGGCGAGGAGCAGGAGGCAGCCGGGGCGCCAGGCCGGGCGCGGCTGCAGGCCCTGGGGAAACGGGGCACGGCGGAGGGGGCGGCTGCCGGAAGGGGCCCCGTGGATATGGCGCACGTAGCCCAGCTGCTGGAGGGGGGAGAGCCCGAGGTGGCGGTCACTGAGGACGACGAGCAGGACCCGGAGATCCTGGCGGCACTGCAGGTGAGCAGCGCAGCGGCGGGGTGGGGGCTCCGCAGCATCGTATGACCTACATCCCTCGAGCTTGAGGAAGCGAAAGTAGGTCAGCAACGAGGACAGATTGGTACACTCACGTCAGACTAGGTGTCAGTGGCGGCTCTAGCCCGAATCCTCGAATAGAGACAGACTACCCATTGAAAGCATCAAAAGCGGGGTCCGTCTGCCTCAGCAGATGCAGCGGTGTGATCCCTTCGCTGCCGATGCTTACGCCGCACCCCCGTCGTGTTTCATGCTGAGGTGCGAGTAATGTGGGTGCCTGGAGCGAGGCGGGGTTACGCACTTTATTGGGAATAATGATTTTGAACAAGATTAGTGCGCATCAATTTGCAACGAGGTTTCTCCATACGAGGATTTCTGACCTGCGAGATGCATGCGCACGGAAATTCCGGCAGTGCATGCAGACCTCACGTTGCCGACCCTGCTCCAGGAGATGGGGTGGCAGGAAGAGCCGCCCGCACGTGCTGCCCCGGCTGCTCCCCCCGCCGCCCCGGCGCCGGCGGTGGCCAGCCCGCAGGAGTTGCTGCAGCAGGCGGGGGCCCTCAAGCGGCACGCGCTGGGCCTGCGCAAGGCAGGCCAGATG